AGCAGTGTTTGCATTATTCAACTTTGCGTTCAACAATTGCGTTCAACTCAACGCAGGGTTGCACGAAAAAAAAGTTGAATGGCTAAATGTTGGCTGGCGACCAACTTTGTTGAAAGCGATTAGTTGAAAGACCATTCAACCAAAAGTTGAATGCAAAGTTGAACAATGCAAACACCTTTTTATGGCGAATATTTTGATAAATTTTCATATTTTGATATTTTAGGCCATTCAACTTTTTTTTCGTGCAACCCTGTGCTGAGTTGAACGCAAATGTTGAACGCAAATGTTGAACGCAAAGTTGAACAATGCAAACACACTTTTCCCCTCAAAATGAAATGTCACTTTGCTCTCTCAATTTCCCCTACTTTGCAAGTTTTTTGCGTACGCGAACGCAAAAACTTGTAAGTTCTGGTTAAACATGAACAATTAACAGCTACACGAACGAACCTTATATCAGCTGTTGATTGTTTCTTTTTGTTGTTTATTAGGATGTCAAAAAAGACAAGCCTAAGCCGGCGGGTGTGTTCAGTGTGGCTAAATCAAATTAGAAAAAAGAAGAAACAAATTGGATGTGTTTTATATTTAGAAAATTTAAAGGTAATTATATTTGAAATAAAATTTATTATCTTTTCAATAACAAAAAATAATTCGGTAATTATTTTTCATTAATTTCGTGCTGCATTTTCAAATCTCGCCATGCTTTCATTTACTTTTGGCGCATGACGTTTGGTCAGCAATTGTCATTTCGTTGCGCGTTTCCTTATGTAAATACCGCTTGGTTGCAGATCTTTTCAACTAACTACCAAGCCAAGTATATACATACGTCGAAATCCGCCAGCCAGGTGAAGTGGAACTACTTAGCAAATATCCTAACTTTATCATCCTTATAAACAAAATGATGCTCACGGCCCCGCTGCTCTCGAAGACTTCTTTCTTCGGCTCATTGGTCAACAAATGCAGGCAAGTGATAAAAAATCAACCGTCCAAGTCTTCCAAACAAAATGACAGACAAACGGACAATAATAACGATTTACAATCATCAAATTCTCTAACTGCCACTCTTCCGGTAATTGCTCCTATCTCCATCTCTACCGACAGGCCAGCGGCCATTGCGAACTTCACTTTAAGGTCCGTATCTTCTGTCCGCACACTTGAAGAGAAACTTGGTCTACCTCCGCGCCCGAAAAAGCCATTAACTCCGTACTTTCGCTACATGCAAGATCAGCGGCCAAAAATACTTGCTGAAAATCCCAAATTTAGCACAGTCGATGTGGTGCGATTAGTATCGAAGCGATGGAGCGATGCTGATGCAGCATTAAAAAAACGCCTGCAAGACGAATACAAACGTGAACAACAAGCGTTTGTAGAAATTCGTGCCAAATACGAAGCTAAAATGTCTGATGAACAACGTGCCGAGCTAAAACAGCTTAAACAGGATATACAAGATGCGAAGGAGCGTAGAATGATGCGAAAGCGCATCAAAGAACTTGGACGTCCTAAAAGACCCGCCTCGGCATTTTTACGATTCCTCAGAGAAGAGCGTACAAATTCGCCACAACCGATAAAGCAGACATATCGAGAATGGCATCAGAGGTGTACGGAAAAATGGTCCCGTCTTTCAGATAAGGAAAAAGAAGTGTTCTTAGTAGAATCACGCAAAGATATGGAATTGTATAAGTAAGTACTAATTTGTGAAGCGAATTATGTAACTTAGTCAAGTATGTAATTCTAATAAATTCTAATACGATATTTGAAATAATTACTTTACAGAAAGGAAATCGCGCTATGGGAAGAAAAGATGGTGCGCTTGGGTAACATTGATGTAGTGCGTCACGGTAATTTGATTGATCCACCGGAACCTAAGACGAAGGGCATAAAACCAACCGCCTAGTTGGCCAATTAAGCTGAACATTTCTTCCTATTGTCTTTTATACATTTGCAATATGAGATGCATATTCCTTAAGTTTTTGCATATTCAGTATAAAAATGCAAATTTTGTTGAATGCGCGCTCTATACAAATATTAATGTTTCATGAAAAAACAAGAAAAAATAAAATACCAGACGTATTTACACCTGCCTGGTTATCAGGTTATGTGGCTATGTTATGAACCAGAAAACCTGATAACCATAACAACAACATAACCAGGCTGGTGGGTTTTTGATTGTTGTTTATTCTTACATTCATATGTATATATGTAGATGTACATATGTACATGCATACTTAAAATATACATTTATGCTGTTTTGCATTTTTTTCAAATACATAAACTAAGAAAATCTTATAAAAATATAAAGTTTTTAAATTGGGCAAAACTTCACACCTTTCCTCTGTTCGGAAATGCAAGTGCAAAGCAGTGTAATCAATGTAATATCCGCAACTAGTACGGTTAAATGCCGAAGCGGAACTTAGTTGCGCAAATTGGACATTTCCATCAATTATAGTTTATAAATGTACGAGGCACGTAATGAAAGCGGCAATACTGTAGCGCCGGCGAAAATTTGAAACACTGTTGCATCATCCTAATTGATATAACGTTACTAGAAACTCACGCCGAACGTGATACTTTGTGGCTCAATTATGCATGGCGAAGGATAGCCGATGTACAACCATATAGTAAATGTTGCATTACGCATGGCTACTGGCTACTGAGTCTCGTAGCGCAATGTCCTTTTTCTAAATGTTTATTGGGAACCTCTGGATTTCAGACAGGGCTACTCCCTTTCGTGGGATTTCTTTAATCTGATATCTGCCGAGGAACTGACCTCTCAGGAATAAATGCCTAGGGTATCGCAACGAAAATGCGCTGAAAACGAATTGCTTACAGCAAATGAAACAGAAACGCACAATTGATTAATATGGATCACACTTCCGTATGTGAGTACATAGGCGTCTGAAAGTGCAATTAGTTAACTAATGACAGAAAACGATGCCATTTTCACACACACACAGTTCCTTCAAAAATTTAGACTGAAAATATTAATACATATAACTTGTTATAGAGTGACGTGTGACGTCGTGTTTGGCGACTCCCCATAACTTCGAAAGCAAACGTTCCACAGAAAACACTTCATTATCCTGAAGTTGGCGACAATGCCATCTACAAGTAAAAATAATCCGATATCTTTTTTTTATGATTTTTTTATTTTGTTTTATTTTAGTACTTTTTTATTAAAGCAATAATTTTTAGACGACACAATTAATTTAATTATGCATTAGATTTAGTTGCTGTGTTGCCATTACATTAAAACTGCTACTATTTCATACTCTCACCTGAATGCATTTAAGTTCACTTATAGTATACCTATTTAAACTTTGAATATTTCTTATTCAATTTTCAATTAAAAGTATCTAGAAAAATAACAGTAAATAGAGAAAAGCTCGGAAAACCCAAATATGTACATACATAATTTTTTTTTTTTAACACATACCACATTGAAGGGCGCACTATTTCTTTAAGATGTACTGTGAGAGGATTTAAAAGACGTTAATACATTGATTTATTTAAAATTTCACCGCGCATAGTTTTTGTAGTAGTAGTTGTTTAGTAGCTAAATTGTACGTACTAATAGATTTTGAATTACATGTGAGTGCTTGAGCACGTGCTTACATTATTTTTTTGCTTTGCTTGGACATTAAATATTAATTTTTTTTGTTTAGCAAGTTTATTAACCTCGATGATAAAATGTTAAGAATAGCTTGTATACATACATATCGATNTACGAGCTTACATTATTTTTTTGCTTTGCTTGGACATTAAATATTAATTTTTTTTGTTTAGCAAGTTTATTAACCTCGATGATAAAATGTTAAGAATAGCTTGTATACATACATATCGATGGTACTGTGCAATAACGGCACAATTCATAATTCAAAAAACAACTGTTACTACTGTTAAGTGTCTCATGTCTCTAATCCTTGTCGAATCCATGTCTAATCTAATTGTACTTACTTTAGCAGTCCCTACGGCTTACGTTAGTAAGTAATGGAAATTGATTAGACAAGGATCTGCGGCAAGAGCCACTTAGCAGTAGTAACAGTTTTGGTTTTTTGAATTTTGAATTATGTCGTTATTGCACCGGACCATCGATATGTACGTACATATATGATTTTTATTTCGGTTAGGATTTGCAAGTGTTTTAACGTGCAAAAAGCAGCAATTTCCTAGTTAGTGTAATTTACAATTTCTTTTTACATACATTACATAGTTGTCAAACAAAAATAGAGGCTCTTGTTAGAAAATGCGCGCTTAGCTAATCTGTTAACATTTAGAAAATCAAAGCCGTGCTTCTTTAGCATACATGCAAAAGTGTTTCTGCAATTCTTTCACACATTTAACTGCCACGCATATTTACATTTACAAAACATCTAATTTCATTTTGCATAATAAATGCATTCAAAGAGTTGTAGAAAAGAAGTGTGCAAAACACTACATGTACGCGCGCATTCAACCCACTCCTAGTGAACAAAATTTAAAATTATTCCGTTTTTTTTTTGCTTAATATTAAAACATTACAGGTTACATACTTACATTGCATTTGCACTTCATTTATTTATTTTTGATTTTTTGTTTGTTTATTTCACTTTCTTTGTTCGTAATTCTATTAAGTTAACATATGTATGTATTTACATTGGCTTATTTACGCATATACTCTATAAAATTATATAAATTTTTGTTTACAGTTTTTTTTTTTGTTAAGTAATTAGAACTAAAACTCTAATGCCACTACTTATGCGCCTCTAAATATTCATTTATTTTTCTATATATGCATATAACTTTGCATATATGTACATTCAATTATGTATGTATATAATGCTTAGCTGTATACAGTAGTGTCTGCTCTTTTTTAACATACATATACATATTTTATTTATAAATATGTTTGCATATATGTATTTATAAATGCTTACCTATACAATTTAGCTTAAATGACTAACGAGCAAGTTTTCATTTATTTTTATTGTTGCTGTAACACATAACTGGTAAAAAAGAAATTATAACTAAATTAGCATCTATTCCAAATGAAAAACTTGTTTGTGGCAAAAGTAATTTCTAAGCTGCAAATGCTACAAGCGAATGTTTAAATAAAACTTTTTTTTCGATATTTCTAAGCTTTCGATGCATGGCGCCCCCTGACAAAACACTGGCTGAATCGTATTAATATGATTGTTATTTTAATGCCGTACACAACTCTATTAAAAAATAATTTCCATTTAGTTTTTGTTTGTGCAATTTGTTTAAAAATTTTAGTATCAGTGCACAGATTATTTTTCATGCTCAAAACTGAACTCTTTCATATTATTGCAGCATGCGACAGAGGAAGCTCTAACAAAAGCTTTTATACTAGAAAAGTTCATATAAAATTTGCAACGAAAACTCATCTCTACTAGGTAGATAACCGGCCTTATCGCGAATTCCATGTGAACAAATTTTCTAAAAACTTATAATTTACAAATTTGTTTTTGTTTTGCCTGTTAAATTATGAGCTGTATACAGTAGTGTCTGCTCTTTTTTAACATACATATACATATTTTATTTATAAATATGTTTGCATATATGTATTTATAAATGCTTACCTATACAATTTAGCTTATATGACTAACGAGCAAGTTTTCATTTATTTTTATTGTAGCTGTAACACATAACTGGTAAAAAAGAAATTATAACTAAATTAGCATCTATTCCAAATGAAAAACTTGTTTGTGGCAAAAGTAATTTCTAAGCTGCAAATGCTACAAGCGAATGTTTAAATAAAACT